TCACGTTTTTTTTGTCTCAATACTATATCTATTTTCCTGACAACAAATGTCTTCTATTCGCAAATCATCAGAATGTCCAATTTTTTTCCATTAGTTTCTCAGTGATCCGAGTTATTATCGTATAAAATAAGGCAATTTTTGTCTTTTGCCAAGTCAGTGTACTGTCAATCTTGATTTTGAGTTTGTGCGACCAATATATAAAAAATAACAAATAAGAAAAAGCACTTTTTTCAATTTGAGAATTACACTAACTGATAAAGGTGCCTGTGCTCGAATATGATAACTTATTACGCGAAATGCATGTTGTATATTCGATAACAATTTCTAAACAGCTTTGCATTTAATACTTTGTTTTTATTAAAGCTTCCAGAAATTTTAAGACTGTTTATTCAAATTTCATAAGCAGATGTTACGTTTTGATAAATTTATTATTACTATTTACTCCGAATTATTAAACCGAGTTAATGTTTATACAGTAGGCGACCAATGTAAAAACCCCACTTCAGCTTTCTTTGACAGCAAGGTGGTCTTATTATTGGTCGAAGTGTTAAAATGAAATATATTTATAATGATTCAGATAGGCCTAGGTCTTTAGTTTTAGTTTGATTAGGCCAGAAATCTCTGTGATTTAATTATTGTGCAAATTTACAGAAAAACGTCTTACACTTTTCAATATTCAACTAAGTGCCCGTTCTAATCATGGCTGTGTTCTGTAAGACAATAGCTTCAAAGTGGTAGGAATGAGATTGCACTTGTGAGTTATCTGTGTGATGTGCAGCTTAATTTTGCCAAGATATTTCCCTATTCGTGCAAAATTGTCATATCTAATATCTAAACTGACTTAAAAAAAGCCCACGTTCTAGGAAGTAAAATTGAAAATGATGTTATTTATAATAAAGAGGAAGACTGAAGTCAGATTTTGAAAACTTGGTAAACGAGATTTATCATTTGGCCACCAGACAAACCTATTTGGTGTAAAATTCAAATATTACATAAAGTTTGCCTAGAATTCGGCTGTCAAGTTAATTGTTGGGAATATTGCTTATGACAGTGATCGATTATCCATTTTCGTCTCATGGGACATAATTATAAATTGTTATTATTTAAGGGCTATAAAAGATTATACTTGAGGAAATTAAAAGCTCATCAACAAACTTTATTGTTCTCAAGACGATCATTAATCGTAAAATGTGCCAAATCATGTTTGAATAGTCTTCAATGCCATATTTTTAATTCTTCTTTAGTAATAGTTGTATCCTATATCTATTATACATTTATACTATATCATGTTTTACACATTTAAAGATTTAGTTTTCTTTTCAGTTAATCATTGTGATATATTGTTTGTATTATGTACGCTTATGAATTGAAAAGTGTCTGTGTACGTTAATAAATTAACAAATAAATAAGTCCAACCGATCTACCGACAGACGATCGCTCGATTTATCGGTCACGCGGTGGGCGAGTCGGTCATTCAGTTAGTCAGTCAAAAGTAAATTTTTGTTTTCATTCAGAGCATATAATGAATCATGCGTTATAAATTTGCAGCTTGTAGACGTTCATACCATTGACTACCTTTAAATTATCTCTTTGTTTGATAAGTTTAAATTCTCTTTATTCTAATGTCAATAACAAAATAAATTAACGCTAATGACTTTGAATTTAACATTTAAAGACGCACACAACGGTATATATATCATCAATATTATTTAATTTAAAGAGAACAAAATTGCAATCAAATTTATCTTAGGCCGCCCTCATCTGTTATCAAACAATTAATACGTGGACATTTCGCATATTCCATGCAAATCAGACAATGAGTCTAGTTATGCACTTTTTAAAAAAAATCATACCGTTTCCTTTTAACTTACCTGACCACAAAGTGGTCAAAGTGAGGTATTGTGATGGGGATTTGTCGTTCGTTGTGCGTCGTGCGTCGTCAACACTCTAACAGTTAAAATATTGATTGAATCATTTTCAAACTTTATCAACATGTTTGGCTCAATAAAATACAGGTCAAGTTTGAATATAGGTCATCTCCGGTCAAAAACTAGGTCACATGACCTAAAATTAGATTAAACCATGTTTTCACCCTAGTGGCTGCAGTTTTGATCCAAATGTCCTAAACATTGATAAGAAAGATTGGTTTGATGATTTCTAGGTCAAGTATGAAAATGGGTCATCTCTGGTCTAAAACAAGGTCACATTAGCATAAAATAGAAGAATCTTGTTAACACTCTAGTGGCTCCAGTTTTGATGCAAATATTCTGGAAATTTGTCAGGAAAATTGTTTTGATGATTTTTAGGTTAAGTTTTTATATGGGTTATCTTGGGTAAAAAAAAACTGGGTCACAGAAGCTAAAAGTAGAAGAATCTTGTTAACACTCTAGTGGCTACATTTTTTATTTAAATATTTTGAAATCGGTTAGAAAAATTGTTTTGATGATTTCTAGGTAAAGTTCGAATAAAAGTTGTATTGGGTCCAAACCTAGGTTACAGGTCAACATGGAACAATTTTGTAAACTCTTAGTGGCTGCTGTTGTCATTCATATATCCTTGAAATTGGTCTGAAATTTTGTTTAAATTATTTCTAGGTCAACATCGAAAATGGGTTACCTGGGGTCAAAAATTAGGTCACACTGCCCAAATATGTATAAACCTTGTTAACACTAGATGTAACATTTTTGACGTTATTGTCATCAAACTTGGCAAGGATGCTTGTCTATGACATTGCTCAGATGAGAAAATGGATCAGGGGAGCGATATAAGGGCCATCTTGACCCTATTGTTCCTAAAACTATTTTAATAAAACCCACATGTGTGTGATGGTTTAAGGAGTGCCAGATTAAAAAAAGAAAGGAAAAATATTAAAATACAATATATCATCATCATTAATATCATCATCTAATAATCATGATCTTACCATCATCATCTTCATCATCATCATCATCATCATCATCATTGTCGTCGTCGTCATCATCCTTACTTATCATCATTATCATCATCTTTGTTGTCGCTGTTATATGTTTAGAACAATGACCTTTAAATTGTGTATTTATGTCCTAATCTCATTCGGTTTCAAACATGTGATATGACAAAAAATTTAACTACATTATCACATCGAAACACATCAAATGTTTTACAATATTTTCAACATCTTAAAAAATATCTTAATAGTGAAAAATGGCCTGGAATGGTCTAAGTACGTGCTACCAATTCATTCCGACGGTTTACATGTTTTTATTTTCCTAAGTTTTTTCAGGCTGTTAGGCTGCTAACTTCACAAAGTTAGTGTTGAACTTCGAAGCTTCAGAATTAACACAAAAGGTTCAATATCTTAAAAAAATATCACAATATTGAAAAATGCGTGGAATAGTGTAAGTAAATGCCACGCTAGGCTGCTAGACTGCAAACTTTAGACACCGTAAATATGAGACCCTTTTATTAACAGAAAAGCCTTTCAAAATACTGACGATGATAGTGACAAGTTGATGCTGATAGTGATACACTTATGACGAAGTAATGCTTTTTCTGATTTTGACTTTGATGAATATTTGATGACGTTTATGATGATATAAATGATTATGATGAGAAGTTTATTATTTATAATCATGTCAAATACGTCAAAAACGGGGGCATATTGACAAATACAAATCCTGTTTGTTTGGATCTATATTTGTTGCAATGGCAAGGAATCGACGAATTCGGCTTTCAGGAGAGCTATATTAGTGGACATCTATATGCGGCTCAAAAGGTCAGAAATGAAATACCATTGTAAGTTTTTATAAAGTCTAGACAGTCAACAGTTCTTCTCACAAGCCTATCTTTTTCTACAAGCTGATTTACACATTTATTTGTCCCATACAATGAGGAATGTAGGTTATCATTAATCGTGAATAGTGTCATCTATATTCACTCATAATTGTCCTTAAATTAAATTTCTTAATATATACGATTTTGTGCCAAAAAACACGTGCCAAGTACTTAATAGCAAGTAAATGTAGGAAGAAAGTAAGTAAGAAGTAAGAAATCACAGTTAAAGGGAAAAAACGTTTTAAGCTACATCATTATGCAAACATTAGTTATCTTCATTTATCTTTCAATCAACAGATCATTGCCGATTATACGTTTATTTTACTCTGCATACATTTAATCGTGTATGTATAAAGTTAATATAAAATATATATGTGTAGGTATTTAACTCGCAAGTCAAGTTCAAATATGGTTTTGGTTCGATGATTTTTGAAAGAATTATCCTATTTAACTTTAAAAAAAAACCTGCAAAATTTCAGTTTCTGCTTCTGTAGGAATGTATGTCAAAGAATGACATTGCACGTGCTGGTATTTTACCAGAAAATACAAATCAAGTTCTTATTTGGCCATGCTCCGGTGGCTTTTGACAGTTTTTGACAGTTTTGCCTCATGAACTTGGTAAGACATTACAAAATTTAACAGTTTTAAGCATTATCTCGTCTATATAAATGCAATTTGCAAAAGATTAACACTGAATAGGTGCATGGCCTTGAACTTTATATTGAAAATTATAGTTTGTGTAAACATTAAATAGTTTAAGGGTATTGAACTTAGAATGGTTTGTTCAAACAAATTGGGAACTTAATATGATTATAACATTTGAAATGTTTGCTAGATTCGTGGCGTTATGACACATTTTTGGTTAGAAATTAAATTTACTGCACACAAATTTAAATAAGAAATATAAAAGCTGACGTCAGCGCCGTGAAAAAAGGATAACTTTTCATATATTTCATGTAGGCAAGGAAAAACGGGATAACACGTTTAAGGTAGACGTATTAGCCTATCGCGTGTAAGGTTAGTGATTTCAATAAGAAAACTTACTTATAATCCACTTTTATAGTTATAAGTGTCCCTTCCTTCTTTTTAAATTTTTCTACACCAATTGAACCTACTTCAACATGTAATCAGCAAATTATTGCCCTTTCAGGCAAAGCATGACGACAGGTTAATACACCTGCGTAAAACGTGCTAAACATGTATATGAGGCTTATGTAACGGACATATCTTATCACTTCCACTATTTTAACCGTAAGAGGTTTTTCCTTTCAGTTGTTCACCGACGCTTACGTATTTCGGAAATAAATCATGATTCAGTCGGACAATTTGGTGACGTTGTTTTGTGGTGAGTCGAGGTTTCAATTATTTTTGTTTAACTATATTATTTATAAAGTGTACCTTTTGAATGCTACAGGATTATATCATTTTTGGTTTCTATTCATGAATAAAAGAAAAAAGGAAAAGGAAATAAATCTAGATTTCAAAACTTAACAAATATGTTTGAGCAATCTTTCAATCAAGGAAGATCACTATTCATGAAACTTGTCTGAAATATATAATTGTCTTGATGATATAACTCTCAGACGTTAACTTTTGTAACTGTTAAATGCTGCATGCAACAAAAGGATATTAGAATTGTTACAGTTATTAACTGCAGGCACCCCATATATGTTTAATTTATATCCTTTGCAGAATTGTAATAATTCTATTGTCTAGAATTTCAATTTGATATTTATAAATTAGGGAAATGTTGTAAAGTATAGATAACCTTCACAATTTTTTGGATATTACTTATAACTAGTTATGATACATATACAATAATATATTATAAGGTTCATACTATTAAATTAAAAATATGTTTCAACCTTAAAGCAAAGACGCCTAAAATGCCCTGAATAACAATTATTATAACTGAAATACCCAAATTGACTCCGTGTGACAAGTACTTTGATCTGAAGACGTCCAAACACGCACTCTGCACATTCATTGCTATGAATTTTTTCAAATAAATTTAATTTCTTTCAATCGGTACAGAGCGGACATGAAATTTTGAACTTCATGTATTATAAATGTATGTAGTATTATAAATGTGTGTGAACTTGGCCACACATGGATCTGCACCTCGTCTCATAATGGTTATCATTTCTTCCAAGCAGTTTTATTTTCCTTCAACCGGTTTAAACTCACGTTGAGCACGTTGAGGAAATGGATTTGCTTACAGTCGATTGACGACCAGACATATATTCTAAAATTATTCCGGGCCATGGTCAAATAAATCAATATGTAAACATACTATAACGTTATGGTCAAACGAATCAATATGTTAACAAACTATCACTTGTTAAGTATGTATTAGCCGTGTCGATACTCACAATTTGTAGAAAAATGATAATAATAATAAAAAAATATAATAATAATAATAATAATTATGATAATAATAATAATGATAATTGAATATACATTATGACATTTTCATTTACTGTTTATATTTTGTTTTGCTCCTAACATATTTTTTTCTCTGCAGTATGTATGCTTGCTTATACAGTATATTCTGAAAACTGTACGACCACTCAGAATTGTAAAGATTCTGGCATAACCCAATGCCTAACAGGTTACCACGTGGTTTGCCAACACCCTGATGGTGGTTCGGTAGAGACTAATGGCGGGAAATGCACATGTGCTGTTGACATTATAAGTAAATTTTCTAAAGAGTTCCTTTATATTATAACAAAAATTTATAGAGAAATAAAATGATGCTCATAATTAAATAAATGGTATAGATATAGAGGATTAGTGTTTGTTTGTGTGTAAGATGAAATTTTATTTCATCGAGTGAGCTTTCAAAACAGTATTCTCACCAGTGTGGTAACCAAGAGAGAGAATAAGTCCATAAAACTTCATCTTACTTTTCAAAGAAACACACACACTAACACATTAACTTTCTTTTTATTTATCAATAAAAAACAAATTTAAATAAATTTTCCTCAATATTTATTTTAATATTAAAATCTGTTTTTCCCCATTTGTAGCCTCATTTTTAGACAAATTTGTCATAAATACAAGAAGTCTTGAGCTGACAAAATAATTTCGAGAATCACCGTTAAATGGCGAGATCGTTGATAATATTTTTATCATTTAAAAATATGAATGATTGCTTGTTTTAGTAATAAAAACAATAAAAAAATTCAATTAGAAATAAATCACACCATCCCACTTTATTTCCGTTACTTATGGTTAATTTATATAAGACTAGGCTTTGTGCAATAGTAATGTATCAATAATTTATTGTTCAATAGGATTGCCGTATTTCAAATGAAGCGTAACACATTTACTTTGGTAAATCGGCAAACTGTGAATCAGTCTAGTGTATCGACTGTTTATAAAGTAATTTAAAACACTCAGCAGGTTAAAATATATCAGTAAATATTTATAAAAACGTATTTATAGACTTTAACCTATATAAAGTGGTCGCCATTTGTAAAATAAGTGTATTTCAAGGGAGGAAAATAATTGTGTTTGATTTAGAGGGATAACATTTGGTTTTGTTAGTCATACATCTTTTTATAAGAAAAAAACTAATTTGAGGATTGTTACAGACACAAAATCTTGTTGACAGATGTGTAAACATTCAAAAAGCGGCTTGAATATAGGAAAACATGAAATTGTTTAAAGGCTGTCTTACGAACGCTGGATTATAAACTCATTCTCCAGGTTGATGACTGTCACTGATTTTCAATTTATCATATAGCATAAAACAAAATGCAGTAATTGCTCATAGGGTACTAAGATATGTCCAGATTTCATCAAGAGCAGTTTTGCATGTGGCAGGAAATGTATTTTTCAGACTGAAAAAATGAAAGAAATTTTATTTGGTTTCTATTAAAAGTTACATCAGTTAGCAAGCGTATGTAAAAATATGGTATTATGTTTCTTCCAAAGACATTTCTACCAAATTCAATACAATGTATTTCTTTTAATGTCAAATTTAATTTGTCTGACAGTGGAATATTACTGTTTACTTTTTACAGGCTTCTGGGTCTCAAAAAGTACCACATAGGATTTTAATATCGATAACTGCAGTCTTTAATTGTAGGAGAACATTGATTTTATCCTATTAAAACTTTGACCATATAATTAAAGTGCCTTAAAGGCGTCAGCTCCTTGCATACGATATGTATATATCAATATAAAGACCAGCGCCTAACATACAAGTTGATCATATCAACATATTAAGGACTTCAGCCCCTAACAAGCGATATGTATATATCAACATAAAAACAAGCTCCTTGCATACGATATATATATATATATGACAACGTAAAGACTTCAGTTCTTTGCATACGATATGTATATATCAACATAAAGACCAGCTCATTAGATATGTATATATCAATGATTTGTTAGTGCTCAACCTTTCCACGTGTCTGACTTAATCTTATCGTAATCAGAGAGTCACTTTTTGATCCGTTCTAAATATAATCATACAATGACCAAACACATATCTTAAAGAAATATCTACAGATCACGATTTGTTAGATTCTGAATATGATTTGTGTGACACAATTGTTTTTTAATGTTTCATACTATGTTACTACTCTATTTTTCATTGTTCTCTTTGTAGCATGCATAACGCAAGCCGATTGTATAGCGCTGGACCTTGAAAGCTATAAGTGCATCAGTGATGGCCACAAACACTGTTATGACAATAAATGTATCTGTAGCAGATGGTAAAAGCGTAAACATGTACCCGACATGAAAATAAATTCTGTCTCTCCTACATGAGTTCATTATTTTAATGATGTCCTATAAAGTTACGTGTAATGTTTAAATTGTTGAGAAAAATAGCCAATAATGCGGGAATGTTTGTTACTTTAACGTGGTTTATTGACGGAGTATTTTTATAAGATAAGAAAGATAGACAACTTTCAGCTCACCTCGAATACATGAAAACAAGCTTGTAACGTACACTTTTCGTCAAGATAAACAAATTTATGTGACGACTTAGACAGATTTGACACTTTTTTACCTTCAATGCGTTTTAAGATATCTGTAATTATGTAGATTCATAAAATACATATAACGTCTTGCAACGTTAATTATGTTAAAGCTAATAGACCTTTTTACGACGCGGCATGTTTCTATGCAGAACTGTAAAAGAATGAACTCATATTTAATAGCTTTTACAGCATCTTTTGATCCCCCCCCCTCAAAAAGCAAAGAAGCGTTGTGGTCATAAAACGAATGGTAAAGACGAGGAACACTTTTTTTTCCAGAATTCTCCCTTGCCCACGTTGGACCTGAAAATCGTTGTAATTATTTGAAATAAGTTTTTTTTTATTTTATGATATTTTTAAAGTTTGTGGCCCAGCTGCCTTATCTTCTTTTGCAACACATATTTTATATATATATATAAAACAGTCTAAACAACTCTTCATAGAATTTAAATTTCTTCTAACTTTAATAAAATATAAGGATATAAGGCGCAAATCACTTTTAAAGAAGATTTATGTTTTTGTTTAGTTGATGGCGTAACAGTGTAATCTTTTAATACAGTTCAGAATTCATAAAAACAAAAGGTTTTTAATGAGGTTCTGGAGACATTTCCCGTCAGTAAACGCTATAACGTATTAACTGCAAAAAGGAGTTAAATTTATAAACAAGAGGGCCATGATGGCCCTGGATCGCTCACCTGACACAACCGCATCCAAGCAATGTTTTAAACAAGCATCATGGCCAAGTTTGATGACAACTGAGTCAAACATGTGACCTCTAGCGGGTTATAAAGATTTTTCCATATTTGGGCAATGTGACCTCATTTTCGACCTGACACAACCCATATTCAAACTTGACCTAGAAATCATCAAAACAACCTTCCTGACCAATTTCCAGGAAATTTGGATCAAAACTGCAGCCACTAGAGTGTTAACCTTTTGCCCCATGAGCATATTGCAAAAAATCGCCGTTTTCATTGAAAAGCCTCCTGTAACAAGTTCAAACTGCTATGAAACTATGAAAAATGCTTCAATACTCAATGAAACTTGGCACAAATGTTGACTACACCATAGCCTCTGTAACAGCATGCTCAATGGTAAATTTCCTGTTACCATGGCAACGGGGGGACTTCTCAAAATTGCCAAAAATCACTATTTTGCATTGTTTTTTTTCCATCAAAACTAATTTCAAAGTGCGACAACTTCTCAATGAATTCAGATAGAGTAAAAGGCTTTTCAGCGTCGGTTACTAGTTACCCCAAGATCACCCTGAGACCATTTTTAGCCTGTCACATGTCAAAAATTTTCTTGGCGATGAGGGGGACTCCGCCCCCCTTCAAACCACCCAAACAGA